CATCCATCCATCCATCCATCCATCCATCCATCCATCCATCCATCCATTCATTCATTCATTCATTCATATAATAAGCATTTATTGGGTCCCTGTCGTTCACCAGCTTCCCTGGCTTCCTTTAAGTTCCAACTAACATCCCATCTCCTATCCAACCTGTCTTAATTCTAGTTCCTTCCTCTCTTAATTATTTCCTATTCATCCTGAATATATCTTGTTTGTACACATTTATTTGCTCCTTGTCTCTCCCATTAGATTGTAAACTCCTTGAGGGCAGGGACTATCTTTTGCCTCTTTTTATGTATCCTCAGCACATAGCCCAGTGCCTGGCACATAGTAGGTGCTGAATAAATATTTGTTGACTGACACGTACTAAGTATACAAACAAAAAAAGGAAACCACAGTCCTAGCCCTTAGGGACAGTAAGTTTTATTTGTGAACTCGGTGCTAGATGTGGGGACCCAATCCACAGCTTTCTCCTCTGAGGACCCCATTCCTCTTCTCTTACAAGGACCAGAAGTGCAGGAGCTGCATAGGTCCTTCATTCCCTTCTGCTCTCTGGGGGAGCCTCTCTCTCCCTGCTCCACATCCCCTCTGTGGGCAGTTTGGAAGGAACTGTCTGAAATAGAGGTACAATGCTTGGGCTTGGTATACCACAGGGCAGGCAGGGGCAGAGGGTTGGAGAACCTGAGTGGAAATGTGGGCACCCACATCACACAGACCTCACCTCAAATCCTTCCATGGGGTTGATGTGTTTGCCTCGGTCATTCTCAGGGGAGCAACCACATCTACCCCTCAGCTGCCTAGGACCCACACCTGCCCACCTCTCTGCAGAACTCAGAATGAAAGACCTGTCTCTATTATACCAATAAACTCCAGCCTTTGCACAACCAAAACACCTCAAATTAATCAAGGCACTAGAGCTACAAAGACAAATGGAATTGTTCCTGCCCTCAAGGAGCTTACATTCCCTTGGTAGAAAACAACATGTACCTATATAAATGCATACACAATAAATTCAAGGTAATTTTGCAAAGGAGGCAGTAGCCACTGGAGAGAATCAGGATGGACCTCACATAAAGGGTGGCCCTTGGTCAGAAGGCAGGGGTTCTGTGAGGCAGAGGTAAAGAGATGGAACGTTCCAGACACGGGGATAAACACAGCCTATACGCCACGCTTGCTACACCCAGGTTCCATAACTCCATGGCCAGATTTGCTGGACTTGAACCCTCCAAATCTACACCTGCCCTACTGGGTTGTCATGTAGGCATAGGAGGAATTACTTGGGAAAGAGACCCTTGAGTCATGACGGCAGCAGGGACTTGGTTACTGGAATGGGACAACCAGGAAGTCCACATGCTATATTCAAACCCCAAAGCTAGCAGTCAGACAGTCAACAAGGATTTATTAGGAACTGACAATGTAGCAGGCACTACGCTAAGCCTCTGGGGGTTCAAAGATAAAAGCAAAAAGAGTTCCTGCCCTCAAGGATCTTACCTTCTCTAACAAGAGAATAGGAATTCCATGAAAGGACCCATCATGTAGCATAAAAAGCACAGACCTGGCTGAAGTAGCACTGTGCAGAGCACAGGATTTGGAGTCAGAGGGCCTGGGTTCAAATCCAGTCTCTGCCACTTACCATCAGTGTGACCTTGGGCAAGTCACACCACTTAGGACCTCATTTTCCTCCCACATAAATTAAAGAGTTTATAGTAGATAACTTCTAATATCTCTTTCAGTTCTCTGACTCAGTGATTCTATAACTACTGTTCACTACAAGCCTCCAGAACACAGACTAAAATGGGAAGGGGTGGCTAGAGACAAACCACCCAGCTCAGAAACACAGTTCCGATCTGAGCTAAAGCCATCTATCACCTGAGGCTGCTGAGCTCAGCCGTCTGCCACCTGGGAACCTGTGGATCCCTTCTCGGGCTAACCAAAACCCTTCCCCAAAAAGGCTGGCACTCACTTCTCTGCCTAAACAATGCACCGCTGTCTCTGTCTCTGTCTCTATCTCCCCCCTCTGTCTCTCTCTCCTCATTTCCCTCTCTCTATGCCTCTGTCTATCACACACACACACACACACACCCTCTTTCTGGCTGCCTGGATCTGTCTATCCACATATTCCTTGGCTCTGTTCTTCTGATACTGTTGTCCAATGCATCTCTCTCTGTCTCCTCCTCCTCGTTCTCTCTTTCTATCTCTCATGCACTCTCTCCTCTCTCTGTCTGTCTCTCTCTCTCCACTTAATCAACAAGCATTTATTAAGCACCTGCTATATACCAGGCACTGTACTAAACAATGAGGATGTAATGAAAAAGCCAAAATAGTACCTGTCCTCAAAAAGCTTATATTCTAATGGGGGAGAAAGCATGAATGTAATAATAGCTAACACTTATATAGTGATTCAAGGGTTGAAAAGTGCTTTACACATATTATTTCATTTGATTCTCACAACCCAGGGAGATAGGCGCTGTTATTACCAAACTGAGGGTGAGTGAGGTTAAGTGACTTCCCCAAAGTCTCACACCTAATAAGCGTCTGCGGCAGGATTTGAATTCAGGTCTTCCTGACCCCATGCACTACTCTGTCCAGAAGGTGGCCTAGCTGCCTGTTTCTGTAAGTCCATCTATCCAGGCTACACCCCACAAGGGCCAGCCCTTTCCCCAAAGAGGGGAGTCAGTTTCTGGGGAGGTAAGAGAGGGTGTTACCCATCTTGCATGCATCAGTACTGAACATGTAACATGTGTCCTACAGACCAAGAAGACAAGCTCAGGACGCCGTACCTTCTTACAGTCCTGGCAGAAGACCGAGGCGCTGCCCAGGAGGCCCAGGGGCTCCCCACACAGAAAGCACTGGGAGAGACCGTTCCCCATCACGTTCTTCCTCATGTTCTCCAGCCGCTCGACCAGCTTCCTGCAGCACAAGGGAGGTTAAAGAAACAGGAGGGATGGGATCTCTGCAAGAGCCCACCCCCCACGCCACCTCCCCACTGCCAAGAGAACACAGGTCCCTGTACTCTGGGCCCAGGGCCCAAACCTGCCATCAAAGGGAAAGTCCCCCAAAAAGGCAGCCCCAGTGACAGATGGGCAGTGAGAACAAAAGGGTCTTTACCTGGAAGCCCGGTTACCCCGAACAACTAAGGAGAACTGAGAAGGCCCTAAAGCTATTCTGCTTCCTCTCTAAGATTCCACCACTTACTATTCATTCCTTTAGAGGTGAGAGGCAGCCCAGCAGAGTGCTCAGTGAGCAAGCCTCAAAGCCTAGAGGACCTGGGTTCAAGTCTTAACCCCTGGGGCATTCTAGACACGGAGATAAACAATGAAAATGCCCAGAGGTGGGAGATGGAGGGTCTTGAAGGAGGCCAGTGTCACTGGATTGTAGACCACACTGGGGGAAGGAGATCTAAGGCGTAAAAAGCCTGGAAAGGTAAAGGAGGCGGCGGGTTATGAATGGCTTTGAACACCCAACCAGGGATTTTATATTTGATCCCGAGGTGATGGGGGCCCCTGGGGTTTATTGGGTAGGAAAGTGACATGGTCAGAGCTACACTTTAGGATAATCATTTGACAACTGAGTGGAGGATGGACTGAAATGGGGAGAGACTTGTGGCAGGCAGAGCTATTCAGAGTCCAGGCAGTAAGTGACTTGCCCAGGGTCTCACAGACAGGAAAGTGTTTGAAGCAGGATTTGCTCTTGCTGACTCTTCCAGACTCCAAGACTAATGCTCTAACCATTATGCCACCTAAGCTCAAGAAGTAAAGGCTTTCCTCGAGGTCCCAGGACTAGAGAGTGGCAGAGCTCGGATCCTCTGGCTCTCAGTCTAGGTCTCTCCCCTTCATACCCTGGCTAGTAGGCCCACCTCCCAGCCCTGTCCCCAGCCCAGATGCCCACTGCTTTTACCCAATTCTTTGCTGCTCCAGAATGTCCAGTTTCTCAGCCCTCTGGATCACCTCCAGGATGGCCTCCACCTCGGCAGTATTGAGGCTCTGGCTTTTCCTCTGTTTGTCTGTCTGGTATGTATGCACTGACCACCCACTCTGCAGTCTGGAGAAGACAAAGGAGAAAAGGCAATAGTGACTGCCATCTTGAATCCACCTTTCTGTGGTTCCCCAGTTCAGAATAAACAAGGATTAGATGGAGATGTGTGTGGAGGCAGCATGAGGGGAGGGAAAAGAGGACCAGGAATTGAGAGGTCCTAGGAGGGTAACTAACCCACAGAACATGAGGGAACCTTAGAGATCATTGAAGAGAGATGGTGTAATAAAGAGCCGTGACTCAGAGTCAAAGACCCAGGTGTGAATCCTGCCTCAGACACTAGCTGTCATGTAACCTCTATGGGTCTTGGCCTCAAGGACCTCCAAAACCTCTCCCTGTGCTAAATCTGTGACGATACTGTAATCTACTCCAAACTCATCATCTTACAGAGGAGGAAACTGAGGCCTGGGGAGATGAAATGATTTGCCCAAGTCACACAGATACTAACGAGCCAGAGACAGGATTGAAACTCAGGTTCTTTTACTTCAAATCCTTCCAGTAGCCCAAGAAATCAGAAAATCAAGGAAACTCAGCTAGAAGGGGCCTCAGAGGTCACCTACAACTGAGGTCATTGCACCTGAATAAGAATCCTTTCTATATTATCCCCAACAGGCAGCCGTCCACCTGCTTAAAGACCTTCGGTGACGGGGATCTCACTACCTCCCACAGCAACCTATTACACTTTTAAAAGCTCAAATTAATGGTTAGGAAGTTTTTTCCTGAAATCAATTCTATACTTGCCTCTTGCACACCCTTGATCCTAATTGTTCCCTCTAAAGCCATGCACACCACATCGAATTCCTCTTCCAACGACACTCCTTCAGATACTTAAAGAGACCTCCAGGCCCTTCACCATCCTGACTGCTCTCTAGCTAATCAACGACCTTCCTAAAATGCAGCCCCCAGAACCCTACTTCTAGCTAAAAGCGTGATTGAGTCATCTAGTCCAGGCCTTTGTTTTAGTGATGAGAAAACCAAGGCCCAGAGAGTTGAAGTGAATCACCAGGGTTCACCAAGGCCAGGGTCAAAGCCGAAACTACCGCCTCTTTCCCAATAAAACACCGAGCGGATTCAAGCACCGGCTACACCAATAGCCTGCTATGTGACTGAAGGCAAGTTCACATCTACCTTCCAATATCAACAAAAGGGAGACCTTACAATACCAATTGGCTGAGAACCCAGACACTTCAAGGGGAAGCCTTGAGAGGGTCAGAGGGGGAAAGACCTGCAGAAACAGGAGAAGAGGCGAGTGGGAGCTCATGCTTAGGAAAAAGGAAGAGGAGACTGAGTGGTTTTCTTTCCATTTGTCTGGAAGGTGAGCGAGAGGATGATAAATATGTATGATATGTAAACACCTTTTTCTAACAAAAAAGTCAGTGAGGATAAAGTGAGCTCCAAATGTAGGGGGCACTTTGAAAATGTAAAGGGACAAGCAGAGCCAGAGGCACAGGAGAAGTAGGGAGGAAGAGGGGATGGCAGATTTTAGGATGGCCTAACAGAGGATTGAAAGCAGGTGGTAGGTTCTTCTCAATGCTAGTGTAGAAATGATCTGGGCAACCCGGGCCTGGGAGAGGCATCATTTGAATTCAATTCAACTAACATTTAGTAAGCTTTTGCTCTGTCCCAGGCATTGTGCTAGGCACTGAATACAAGGACAAAAAAGAAATAGTCCCTATGAGGAGCTAACATTCCTAACATTCTACTTGCTTATTCTGTGCCAGGTAGTATGCTAGGCAATGGGGATACAAAGACAAAAGCAAAATAGTTTTTGCCCTCAAGGAGCTTATATTCTACCAGAGTGAAGGTGGTTATGGTAGGACACAATGTGTACACAGATAAATACAATATAGATACAAAATAAACACAAAATAATTTTGCCTACAGGAGCGCTAATAACTAGAGAGGCGGGGAGAAGGCGGGAAGGAATCAGGAAAAGTCTAATGTAGGAGGTGGCTCTTGAGTTCAGACTTGAAGGAGCCTAAGGGGCTCAAGAGGCAGGGGTGAGGAGGGACAGCAGGTATATACCCCAGGTATAGGGTAGTATCTGTGCAAAGGCATGGAGATGAGAAATCAAATGTTGTGTATAAGGACCAGTAATTAGGCCACTTTGCCTGGAACATAGAATGTATGAAGGAGAATAATCAGTCTGGAAACATAGAAGAGAATCAGATTTTGAAAGGTTTTATAAATAGCAAACAAAAGGATTTTGTTTTAACCTCGAAGCAATAGTGAGCCACCAAAGTTCCTTAAGGTACGAGTAACACAGACAGAACTGTGCCCCCGGATGGCTGTTGTAGTAGCTGTGGGGATGACGGTTTGGAGAAGCAGACAGGCTAGAAGCAGGGAGACCAAGAAAGCAGCACAGGTGAGAGGTGACAGAGCCAGACTTGGCATGCTGGCTCTGCGTCCAGAGAGTAAATCGGTTGTTGGATCTGGCTTCTCCTTCCACAACATCTCTTCCATTTGTCTCCTCCTCCCTCCTGCCTAGTTCAGGACCTCATCGCCTCTTCCCTAGACTACTGCAAAAGCCTCTCTCCTTATTGATCTTCCTGCCTCAGGTCTCTCTCCTCTTCAACCCAACCTGCACGCACGCACCTGATGGATTTTCCTGAAGTACAGGCTTCCACTACACAGTAAACGCCACTGGCTCACTGGCATATTAGGCGAAACACCTCTGTTTGGCATTTAAAACTCGTCACAACCTGGCCCCGACCTATATTTTTAGCCTCATTACACATTATTTCCCTTTTATGCTCTCTATAGTGCAAACTGGCTCATTTGCTGCTGCAAAAAAACAGTCTATCTGCCATCTCCAAGCTGTGCCCCATGCCTGGAATACTTCCCTCTTCATCTCCACCTCCTAGAATTTCTACCTTCCCTTAAATCTCCAGTGCCAGCTCCTAGGGGAGTTCCTATCTGATCCCCCCAGCTTGTGGTGCCCTCCCTCATCACTTTGTATCACATATATATATATATATACATGATACACACACATATCTACATACACACATATACACACACATACACATACATGCACACACACATATATACACATATATATGATACACACGCATATATATACATGCACACATATATATACATACACACACACATATACATACACACACACACCCCCCAATTCCTCCAACAGAATGTAAGTTCCTTAGGGCAGGGACTGTTCACGTCAGTCTTTGGCTAAATGCTTACTGATTGAATTGTATCCCCAGTGCCTGGCATGTAGCAGGCATCTAATAAATACTTGCTGATCAGTTGATTTCCTTATCCTGACTCTAATTATGAGACAAAACACACACCCACAAATGATCAGGACATGACAGCATATTGTCTTTTAAGGTTTGTGAAGGCTTTATACAGGTTAACTCATTTGATCCTCAATGGGTACTTACTATTGTTATCCCCATTTTACAGATGAGGGAAAGTGAGGCTAAGAGGGAATAAATAGATCAGGGTCACATGACTAGTGTCTGAGGCAGAATTCTTCTTTTCTTTTCTTTTTTTTTTTTTTTGGCTAGGCAATGGGGTTAAGTGACTTGCCCAGGGTCACACCGCTAGTAAGTGTTATGTATCTGAGGCCGGATTTGAACTCAGGTCCTCCTGAATCCAGGGCTGGGGCCCTATCCACTGCACCACCAGCTGCCCCTTGAGACAGAATTCTAGCTCAGGTCTTCATGGCTCCAAGCCCAGTACTCTGACCAATGCTCCATCTAGCTGCCTAAAGTACACACGTGACAAGTCAGAGGCTCTGGGTTCAAATTGTGGCCTCTACCACTTACTAGCTGTTATAGGTTATTGTTGTTTGTCCTTTGTTTTCAGAGAGGACCAATGACATCATGGGTGATGTCTTGACTAGCACGTGAATTGTATTTAAGGGTGGGAGAGTTGTGCAAAGTTGTCAGCCTAAATCCCTCTTCCAGGCATTGAAGTCCAGGGGCAGGACAAAAGCCAAGATGGCTGGAGATAGTCTAGTTAATGACCTGGCTGTCTTTGATGCCCGACCGAGCTCCAAGCGCCCCACAGCGCCTGCTTCAGCTGCCTTTGGGACCGTCAGAACAAATTGTTCTCATCTACTCATTCCACCAAGGGAAGTCTGCACATGGTCGGGGTAGACAACTCCCTAACTCACCAACAGGTCTGAGGCCCTTGGGTGACCCTCAGTCCCGTTCAGCTCCTCTGCCAAAGCAGCTTTAGTGGGGTGTGACTGCTACTGCAGCTCAGCTTCTGGAGCCACAGGTGAGAGCCGGGTGGCTGGTGGACACAAAGGTACCACAGCAGCCCTCACAGCACAGGTGCTGGGCCTCCCCAATGCCCCACCCACCCACCTGTTACAGGGTGTGTGAAGGGTGTGCCAAGCTGGGATATGCTCAAGAACAGGTTGTTAAATTTTCAATGTGAGCATTTACACCTCCAAAAACTGGGGAACAATACAAACCAGGGCTTAATTTATTCTTTTGTTGATTATCTTTACTTAAGAAAGTAAAGGATAAAATGTTAATACAAATTAAATTTAAAAGTATTTCTTGTGAATATTTTGTTAAATATTTACCTTTATATTCCTGGTACCAAATGCCCCCCCAAATGGTTTCACATTTTAACTACAAGATACATTCTTTTAGTTTTAAAGTAAGGACTGCTGTATTATGCTTAAGTTCAAGTATTCATTTCTTTAGCTTAAAGAAGAACATTTTTTCTGATTGAGTATTTTGACAAATGTTCATCTTTTAAAAAATGCAATTCTTTAGGTCAGTTTGGGGCTCCAGGCCAGATATGACCCTCTACGTCCTCTAGTATAGCCCTTTGACTCAGGAGCTGCACTTAAGGACCTGGAGGGCCACATGTGGCCTTGAGGGCCGCAGGTTCCCCACCCCTGCCTTAGTACACACCTAGATGAAATGTACTGCATGTGCCCATGCTTTCTATGTGGCCATGGGCAAATAGCTTGACCTCTCTGGGCCTCAGTTACCTCATCTGGAAAAGGATGGGGTTGGACTAGACCACCTCTACAGTATTTCCATCTCTAAGTCTATAAGCCAGCAAAATGGGTGCCAGTAAAATGAGAGCTGGGTTTTTTCTCCTTTGTCTTGGTATCCCCAGGGCTGAACACCATGGCTTGCACTAGAGAGGTCCTTAATGCATGCTGATTAAGGGGCAACTAGGTGGCGCAGTGGATAGAGCATCAGCCCTGAAGTCAGGAAGACCTGAGTTCAAATCTGACCTCAGACACTTGACATTTAGCTGTGTGACCCTGGGCAAGTCACTTAACCCCACTGCCTAGCCACCAAAAAAAAAAAATGCTGATTAAATAAAATAAATCAAAATAATCCTCTATGTTTAGCTACAACCCTCAAGGGCAGGGACCGTTGGCCCCATGGCCTGGCACACAGTAGGCACTTAACAAATGCTTGTTGAATTAAAATGAATTTAGCCAATCAACCTGACCTTGCAGAATGTAAGTACCATGAGGGTAGGGGCTGTCTCATTTTTGTCTGTATATTCCCAGACCCTAGCACAGTGTCGAGCTGAGAGGGAGGGTTCCATAAATGTTTGTTAAGTTGAACAGAATTGAGGGATCCCCAAATCTATGTCCCTGTGACAAGGTAAATTGAGGCCATTAAGTGTTGCACTGGAGGTGAAGGGTGAACAGGGCTGTGGAGACTGGCTGGAAGAGGTATGTAGTGAAGGGAGGGGGGCACAGACGTGCCAGGCGCTAATGGCCTGAGACTACTTTCCATCCCTACCAGGCAGCCTGCCCCAGGAGAGAAAGATAAAAAGACATTTGCAGCTCTAAAAGGTGTGAGCGGCTTTTCTGCACTGCTGCAGAGAGTGAGAATGATGGGCGGAAGAGGGAGGAGGAGAGAGGGAGCTGCCACAGCTTCTCTGAGAGCTTAGCTTGAGATTAGGAGAGGCAGCCAAGGTCACTGCTCCCAGAGCAATGGGGCTGATCTTTCATCAGCAGAAGAGAGAGAGAGGAGAGAGAGGGAGGGAAGGGGTGAGAGAGAAGGGGGAAGGAAAGGGGAGAATGAACAAGTGAAAGAATGAATGAGTGAAAAAAAATACATTTATTAAGCACTCACTAGGTGCAGAATACAAAGTTAAATGCTCCTCCCACATTGGAATAGGGAGACAAGCCACATAAGAGATCTGTTTCAGCTGCAAGTCAGAAAGAACTAGTCCTTAGGGCGCAGTAAGGAGGAAGAGAGAGAGGAGGGGATAGAGAAAGGGGGAAGAAGAAAGAGGGAGGGGAAGAGAGAAGAGAGGGAGGGGGAGAGAGAAGGGAGGAAAGAGGGAATGAAGAAGGAAGGGGGAGATAGACTAATACAAAAGAGAGGATAGGGAAGAGAAGGAAAGAGAAAATAGAGGAGAAAGAATGGAGGGGGGAGAGGAGAAAAAGAAGAGAGCAAAGACAAAGGGGGCAAGGAAAAGGAGAGAATGAGAGAAGGAGGAGAGAACAAAATAATGAGAGGAAAGAGGAGAGGAGGGGAGATGAGAAGAGGGGAGAGGAGGGGAGAGGAGGGGAGGGGAGGGGAGGGGAGGGGAGGGAGTGAGAGCCAGATGAGGCTCACCCAGGACTCCATCCTTCCCTGTAGTTCAGCATGGGAGTGGGAGGTTGGGGGGGAAACTGAAGGATTTAATGGCGGAGGCAATCCTAGGGCAGTGGTGGCAGCCAACTCTCCCGAATGGGCTGCAGAGATGTGCAGAAATGCCGTCTCTCTTCTCTCTCCACTTCCTATGACTTCTGCTCCTGACAAGGATGCTTGTGCTCCATCTCCCCCAATCCCCTGCTGCCTGGCCCTAGTGCAGGGATAGTGTCTAATTAAGAATTCCCTGCGCTCTCTGTCTTCGAGCCCTGTGGCACGCTTGATTGTTTTTGTTTTGGTCTAGGTCCCCAGTGGGTAAGAGTGCTGAATTTGGAATCAGGAAGCCCAGGGTCCAAACACTGCCTCCGAAACTTACCAGCCAAGTGGGCCTAGACAAGTCAAAGACTCAGTTTCTTCTTATATCAAAAGGGTAGAATAATATCTACCTCCCGGGGTCATTGTGAGGCTCAAATAAAATAACATGTATAGTCTGTAATCCTTAAAACTTAGTAAGATTAGTTATTGTTATTATTAGAAAGTCTGCCATGACATAGAGCATTGACCTCTGAGTCAGAAATGATAACAATAGCTAACACTGACACAGCACTTTAATATTTTCAGGGCAGCTCGATGGTGCAGTAGAAAGAGTGCAAGGCCTATAATCAGGAAGACTCATCTTCCTGAGTTCAAATCCAGCTTCTAGCTGCGTGACCCTGGGCAGGTCACTTCACCCACCCTGTCTGCCTCAGTTTCCTCATCTGTCAAATGAGCTGGAGAAGGAAATGTCAAACCGCTCCAGCATCTTTGCCAAGAAAACCCCAAATGGGGTCGTGAAGGGTCAGACATGACTGAATAACAATTCAAGCTTAATACTTGCAAAATAATTTAGCCATATTATTTCCCTTAATCTTCATAACAACCCCGTCACACAGGTGCCATTATTACAAAGGAGGAAATTAAGGCTGGGATTAGTGACTAGCCCAGAGTCCCACAGCTAGTAAGCATCTGAGGAAAGATTTCAGTTCAGTTCTTTCTAGCTCGAAGTTCAGCATTCTACCTACCATGACCCCTAACTGCCAAGACTACCTCTAACACATGCTGGCCGTGGGACCCTGGGCAAGTCCCTTAACTTCTCAGGCACCTTCCTAAGATTATAAATCACAGAGCTGATACTGATTTGTATTAATAGGCAGAGCTTCCAAAACTAATAAAGTCATAGGTCTGGGCAGGGGTGTTCTAGTTAATGTTTAACAATCAGCTTTAAACACAGAACACACTTTTAAGTTTAAACTGCATTGCTAACATTTTCTCAGTCACTTTCTTAAGCCTAGACAATCACAAAACAATAAATCAAGCCCTGACTTTGTAGCATTTGCTGATTTCTGAAATGTAAATGTTCACAATGGAAATTTAACAATCAACTCTCCCCAAAGAGCCATTTTGAGCTGGCTCGAGCACACCTGAGTATGTACCCAAAATTATTATGATATTGCCATCTCATTGAGGAAGAGATTTGGGCAGCAGAGATCCTGCCAAAGGAGTGTCAGGAGGAGAAGGAAAAGCCAGGAAAGCCCCACGTGGCCCCTGGCAAAATTGAGGGCAGCACTCACTTGGCTCGGAGGGCAAGCTGTCGATCATTGGGGCATACCCACTGGTCCTTCCCACTGCCAAAGATGGTGTCAGCCATGGTTTGAGGGGGCTGAGAAAAGAGCTAGTTGTCACATCTGAAAGAGAATGGAGGACGGGGGGAGACAGCAAGAGACAAGGTCACTGAATAGGTTGTGAGTGAGCCAGTAACCAGAAGTGAGGAACAGCGTGCTGGAGGCATTGGACATCTGGACACTTCCAGTTCTGATAAGGCCACCTGTGTGTGTGATATGCAGCTGCCTATGTGACATGGCATGAAGGATACTGGAAATGCCCCATGTCCCCATATATCTCCTCTCACTGATACCTGGAACTCTACCATTAGAGATTCATTCTTGTGTGTTAAGCAGTCCCTTCTTTAGGATCCACTTTTAAAAAGGAAATACTTAACAACTATAAATAAATAAAAATATAAATATAAATAAATTATTAAAATAAAATTAAAAATATAAATATTTTAAATAGCTGACATTTACATAACACATTAGCATTTACAAAGCATTATATATCATTATCTCATTTGCTCCATGAAATTAATTTATTCCTTACCCCATCCATCATTCATTTAACAACCATTTATTGAACAAGGATTCCACGAGGGGAGTCAGAGAATACTAACGGTAGCTGACATTTATACAAAGAACTTTATTGACATTCTCTCATTTGGGCTTTACAATAGCCCTGCGAGGTGAGTACTACAGGTCTTCTTAACCTCATCTTACAGTAAAATGAGCCTCAGACAGGTTAAGGGTCTTGCTTATGGTCCCACAGCTAGAAAGGGTTAGAGCCCACTGTTGATTGTATGAAGTCGCCATTAGCTTGGCTTGTCAAGAGTTCATCAGTTTCCCGAAGGACAAGATGTACAGTTATCTCTTCCACATCGAGGGGTCAGGGTGCCCATGCAACCTGGAAAATTCACATAAAATTTGTTGGTCCTCCCTTTGTACCAGAGAAGTCTGAATTATTATGGTAATAAAAGATAAAATATGTTGATTTTACACAATACTGTACATATATCTCATGCATTTCTGAGTTTCTAATTTTTTTCTGTGTTGTCTGTCGCTTCCACAAAACTCCCCAAAAATTCCCATTTAGTTTCTTATGCTGACCCGCGATATACTGAAACCTCGATGGGGAAAGTCACGATGTGCAAGGGATGACTGTAGTAGGTATACGGAGGAGAGGTTTCTAGAACGCAAAAGGGAGGTGAGAAGGTCTACTGAAGGGTGACAGAGGATCAGATATTCTGAGCCAAAAGGATTCATCTAATCCAACCTTCTCATTTGTTCACTGACTCGTCCAAGGTCACATAGGTAATACGTGGACAGTGCCTCCAAAGTCTGCATCATGCTGTCTCCCTCCATTCCAAGGGGGATACTGAAATTTAACCTTCCAACGGCCCTGAGCAAAGGGGTAGAGGTCTGACTCATGCCAGGAAGCATAGGAGCTAAGCACTATAGTAAGGAATACAGGCAGCTGCTCAAAACTGGGAGATGAGAGAAAATAGACACTGTGACTTAAAGGCAAGGGAAGGGAATGAGCATTTATTAAGCAAATACTATGTGGCAGGCATGGTGCTAAGAGCTTTACAAATATTATTTTAATCTAGGTTAGAAGGGACCTTAAAGGCCTTTAAGTCCAACCCCCTCATTTTACAGATGAGGAAACTGAGGCACAAGGGGGTTGTTGACTGGAGCAAGGTCAGACAGCTATTGTCTGATGTGAGATTTGGAAGGGATGAGAGTAGCCTGTCTTTAGTTTTCTTTTACTTGATTAATCAAAAGGAGGCATCTAGGGCTCTCCCTCTTCAGGGAGACGGAATCATTTACTGGGACCCCATACTTAAGGACTAGAAGGTAACTGGCTGAAATGACCAAGCTGTCATTTTGGCTTGAGCATCAAATACAGCCTGGCTCTTGTCCCTTCCCTAACAATTCAGACAGTTCTCCACTATCTGCTCTGAGAACTGCTGTCCTTCCTACCCAGATTGACAATCCCGATTTATCCAAAACCCTAGAAAGATGAAAGCTGGCTCCTGAACGTTGCCCACTCTCTGCCCCAGGGCTAGAAATGGGCTACAACTCACTCCTTTCCTCATCGCAACTCAATCAAGCAATAAACATTAACTACCTGGTTACAACTGCTAGGCACTGGAATCTGGAGACATAGAGGCAAAAATGATATGGTCCATATCCTCAAGGAGCTAACATTCTAAGATTGAATGAATGAATAAGTAATTATGAAATGCCTAGTATGAGCCATGCACTGTGCTAGCTGCCAGGGACACAAATACAAAGGGTGAGGGGCAGCCACATGGTACAGTGGATAAAGCACTAGCTCTGGAGTCAGGACGACCTGAGTTCAAATCCGGTCTCAGACACTTGACACTTACTCGCTGTGTGACCCTGGGCAAGTCACTTAACCCTGATTATTTCACCAAAATAAAAAAATCACCATCAAAAAGGATGAAACAACCCCTGGTTACAAAGAGCTTACACTCTAATATTGAGACCAAGAGCAGTATAGCTTACTTTGCAAATGAGGAAACAGGTTCTAGGAATGATTGGGACTGACTCAATATTAAAAAAAAATGGTTAGTAAGTTAGTGAGGCACTTTTCATTATAGCAAAGAACTGGAAACAAAATAGAGGCCCATCGATTAGGAAACACCATGCTGTGGTGCATGCATATAAGAGTCTATGACTGTGCTGTCAGAAATGATGAGCATGAAGAATACAGACAAGCACAATACAAGACTTGTATGACCTGATGCAGCGTGAAGGAAGAACAAGGAGAACAATACACAGGTGGCTGAAAGTAAACAACAAAAGCAATCAAAAGGGAAAGCTTTGGTATTGCCTTATTATTAAAATTACAATGGCCAAGCTTGACTCCAAAGAAGAGACATGAAGAGACGCCTTGCTTCCACCTTGGCAGAGGCAGGAAACCAAGGGGGTGGAGCATAACAGATAACGTAAGAAAAATGTTTATATATCGGTTAGCTTTACTGAACTGCTTTCTTCTTTTTTTTATTCAGTGTTATAAAGAATGGCTCTTGGGGAAGGGGAGGGTGGACAGACACATTGGGAAATGTAAGTGGTATGAGAACAAAAGAAACCCATAAAAAGTTACCAAATTAAAAAACTTTTAAAAGGGATACATGGTATCCAGAATGAGAGCTATGGTAATCCTGGAACACTCTGCCTTGATCAGATGGCATCTAGTATAGTCTGAAGACTTCTGGACACTATATATCATAAAGGAGATTGTCCCCAAGTAAGGGTGACAAGGATAATGAAGGGTCTCAAAATTATACCACAATTGAATCAGTTGAAGGAATTGGAGACATTTAACTCGGAGAAGAAAAGGCTTATGGTGGAAACATCTATTTTCTTCTTTTTAAATATATATATATATATATATATATATATATATATACACATAGGTATCTTTTGCTTTTATATCACATGCATTTTCCCCTATATATCTCCTGCTCTCCTTCAAGAAAGTCATTCCTTATGACAATTTTTTAAAAAGAGGAAGAGAAAAAATTCAGCAAAACAAAATCAACATATTGAAAAAAAATCTGATGTTGCAGCCAATGTGCCACATCTGTGGATTTTCACTTCTGGAAAGAGGCAAGGGGAGGGACAACAATCTTCCAACATTTGAAGGCCATGTAGTAGCCATGTAGTAACAGCATTGGAATTGTCCTGCTTGGGTCCATAGGGTGGAGCCAGGAAAAATGGGGCAAATTGTAGAGAGAGATTACAGCTCAATGACAGAAAAGCTTCCAAATAATTAGAGCTATCCCCAAGTGGAAAGCTGCCTTGGGATGACATGGGTTCTGCATTATTATAGTTGTTTAAGCAGAGGAAAGAAATAAAGGAAGGGAGAGAAAGAAAGAGAGAAAGGGAGGGAGGGAGGGAAGAAGGAAGGAAGGAAGGAAGGAAGGAAGGAAGGAAGGAAGGAAGGAAGGAAGGAGGGAAGGAGGGAAGGAGGGAAGGAGGGAAGGAGGGAAGGAAGGAAGGAAGGAAGGAAAACTTGAGGTTGGGTGTTTGTGGGGAAGGGAAAAGAGACTAGCTGTGTGTGTGTGTGTGTGTGTGTGTGTGTGTGTGTGTGTGTGTGTGTAGTTCTCACATAGAATCAGACATTACATTTGGAAGTAACCTCTAGGAATTAAAAGCAGGGCAGAGTTATTGTATGTCTCCAGTTGGTGGGAATTGTGTCTTACCCTTATGTTCATAGTACTCAGTTAAAACAACCTACATTTGTTGCAGCCAAGCCAGGTAGTGTGATCTTTGGTGGAAGGAAGCATGGCTCGAGGGCAAAGCAATGGATTTGGAGTCAAGGCACCTAGGTTCCTATCCTAGCTCTGCCACTCACCACCCATGTGACCTTGAGCAAGTCACTTAACCCTTATGGCCCAGTTTCCGCATCTGTAAAATGGGGAGGCCTAAATGATGTCTAAAGTCCCTTTCAGCTCTATTTCCACGATCCCTCTGAGGCGAGTGGCATGCACTTTCAAGATGATCAGGAAGGCTGTGGGTCAGAGAAGCTGATTGGCTCCTCAGGAATGAAACCCATCACGCCCCTGATCTCTGGAGCTCCAGCCACAATTCAATTCAAGGACAATTTACCAAGGGATGGTTCTGTTCCTTGCTTTTGTTTAACAGACACATTTCCTGCCACACAGTAGGGACCCAATCAATGTTTGTGGACTGATTTATTAATCAATTAATGCATCACAATGTGCCTGGCACTGTGCTAAGGGGCTGGGGATAGGTCAGCACGTCAGTACATGTTAGCAGAGAAGTCAAGGGAAGATGCCCAAGTAAGTATGATACAAGGCAAGAGGGAGGTTCAGATACACATGCCAAGAGAACGTTGGAGGGGGGAGATCACGTATGTGCATACACACATACTCACTCCCTGTCTAGCCCTGATCTGACACCTACCTGCCCTGCTAGCTCAGACCTGATGCTTACCCACCTAGGACCCAGTGGGGGTGGGGGTGGGAGGTACAGGGAAAGAGAAAGACACTTGGGTAATCTGTTCCTAGAAAAGCTGATGATAA